TGTCCCCCTTACCACTTTCCCCCGGGACCCGGTGTCCGGCCTGTTCACACTTGACACCGCGACGTCCCCGGCTGGGTCTTCCCCCCAGGTAGCTGCGTCCACCCAGGTTGCTGCTGCGTGCTCCTGTCGGTCCCTCACTCATCCGACTCTCCTTTGGCACCACCGCCTTGGTCACCCTGCACTCCCGCGTCTGCGTCACATGTCCCAGCACGGTCTCGTCCTTGGTCTCCCCGGTTCGTTCCCTGAGTTTCCCTCATCCCCCGCCCCACTGTGCACGCCTTGTGTCGAGGGCCGGCTCCGCCGTGCCCCTCACTCCTCCTCTTTTCCCCCTACCACCGCACCCCTGCAGACTCTGCACATGGACGTCTGGGGCCCAGCCCCGGTCCATGGGCCGCGTCGCGAGCGCTTCTTCCTAGTGCTTGTCGACGACTTCACACGTTACACCACCGTCTTTCCCCTGGAGCGGAAGGCCGACGTGCCTGACGTTCTCATCCCCTGGCTTGTCTCTGCTCGTCTCCACCGCGGTCTCCCTGCCTTGCGCCTCCACTCCGACCGGGGTGGCGAGTTCGCCTCAGGTGTCCTTGGTCGCTTCTGTCGTGCGGAGGGCATCACCCAGACGTTTACCCTACCGGACTCCCCGCAGCAGAATGGGGTTGCTGAGCGACGCATCGGTTTGGTCATGGAGGTGGCTCGCACCTCCATGATCCACGCCGGTGCACCCCATTTTCTGTGGCCGTTCGCCGTGCGCTACGCCGCTCACCAGCTTAACCTGTGGCCGCACCCCCAGCGGCCGCAGGTTTCGCCGACCCTTCTGTGGACCGGGTCCCCTGGTGACGCGTCTGCGTTCCACGTCTGGGGCTGCCTTGCTCACGTTCGTGCCTCTGGCACGGACAAGCTCACTGCCCGCACCCTCCCCTGCGTCTTCCTCGGTTTCCCCCTTGACGCGTCCGACTGGCACTTCTACCACCCGCCGTCTCACCGTTTCTTTCACTCTCGCGACGTCACCTTTGACGAGTCCGTCTCCTTCTTCCGCCGCTTTCCCCACCGTGGTCCCCCGGTTACTCCCCCCCTGTTCCTGGTTCCTCCCTCCCTGGTGGCCCCTGCCCCTCCCCCCCCCCCGCCCCCCCGTCCGGCCCCCTCTGGTGTGTCTCACGTCACCCCCTCCCGTCGGTCGTTCCGGTCGACGAGTCTTCTGACTCTGGTAGTCCTTTGGCGCAGTCCTCGCCGTCTGTCCCTCCCCCGGTGTCTCCTCCTCCACCGCCTCCGCAGCCGCCGTCGCCGCAGCTGCTGCAGCCGTCGTCTCCGCCGCCGCCACCGTCGAGGCCGTCGCTGCAGCCGCCGCCGCCGCCGCCGCCGTCGTCGCTGCCGCTGTTTGTGGACTCTGGGGGTGCTGGAGTTGAGGTGGGTACTCGTCCCGGGGCTCCTGTCGTGGCTTGTCCCCGCGGGCCTGGGGGTGGTACCGGTGCTGGCGGTGTTTCGGGCTCTGGGGGTGTCCCTTCTGGGGGTGCCGGTGTGGAGGGTTCGGGAGGTAGCCGTCGCGCAGCTTGTGGCCCTGGCGTTGGTGTTGTGTCGCCGCAGCAGCAGTCCCCGCCGGTGTCCGCCCTCCGTCTGCTCGGCCTTCCGTCCCCTGACCCTGCGCCTGTTCCTCTCCGGCCGTCTCCCCCTCTTCCCGTCTACGGCCCCGTGTTCCCTCCGCCGGACTCGTCCCCGGCTCGTTTTCCCCCTCGTTCCCCACCCGTGTCCCCTCCTCTGTCTCCCGACCCGACGCCGCCCTCTCACGTCTGGTCTCGCCGCCCCTCCCGTGCTCGTCCTGTATCCCCCGTCCCGCGCACTCACCCTATGTTGCTCCGCTCCCACGCGTCTCGTCCTCCCCTCCTCCCGTCTCCTCCTCCGTCCTCTCTTGTCGTTGCGTCTCCTCCTCTGTCTGACTACTTTCGTGCCGCTCGTCCTCTTGTTCCTCGGGTCCTTGCCTCTCTCGTTACCGACCCGTCTGTTCCAGTGTCGAGTCTTGACGCCCTTGTCGCTGCGGTCGCTGACTTCGCCTCTACCCGCCGCCTTGACTACGCCTCCGCTCTGGTCTCTGACCCTGCCTGTCCTCCGTCTGTCGGGGGTGCTCCTGCCCTCGGCAGTGACGTCCTGGAGGACCGCCAGTTTGAGCTTGCTTTCCTGTCCGAGGCTGCTCCCCATCTCTGTTCCATGATGCTAGTCCCTGAGGGTGACCCAGACGCTTTTGACATCCCGACCCCTCGTACTTACGCTGAGGCGGTTTCGGGACCTTGGGCCTCTCAGTGGATAGCTGCCATGGAGCAGGAGATGGCATCTTGGAGATCCACCGGCACCTTCGTCGACGCAGTTCCCCCACCTGGGGTGAACGTGGTCGATGGCCGTTGGCTCTTCAAGGTGAAGCGCCCTCCTGGAGAGCCGCCTGTGTTCAAGGCGCGTTACGTGGCTAGAGGCTTCAGTCAGCGCGAGGGGGTGGACTTCTTTCAGACTTTCGCTCCTACCCCGAAGATGACTACTCTTCGGGTTCTGCTACACGTAGCGGCTCAGCGTGACTACGAGCTTCACTCCCTCGACTTCTCCACTGCCTTTCTTCAGGGCAGCCTTCACGAGCAGGTCTACCTGCGTCGTCCTCAGGGCTTTACTGGCACCTTCCCCCCTGGGACCCAGTGGCTTCTGCGGCGCCCAGTCTACGGCCTGCGCCAGGCGCCTCGTGAGTGGCACGACACGCTGCGTGCTACTCTTGCTGACCTGCAGTTCTTTCCGTCCTCTGCAGACCCCTCGCTCTTCGTTCGTGCTGGCTCGACTCCGTTCTACATCCTCGTCTACGTAGACGACCTGGTCTTTGCCACAGCTGACAGGGACGCACTGGCCTCCGTGAAGGCAGAGCTGCTGAAGAGACACACCTGCACTGACCTTGGAGAGCTGCGCCGTTACCTTGGCTTGCAGATCTCCAGAGACAGAGCCGCGCGCACCATCACCCTGACTCAGTCACACTTGGTGCGCCAGGTCCTTCAGAGGTTCGGCCTTCAGTTCTCCTCCGCACAGCCCACCCCTCTTCCTCTGGACCACAGACTCTCCGCTCCAGTTCCTGAGGAGTCGGTAGATCCCAGTGGTCCTTACGCTGAGCTAGTGGGTTGCCTCATGTACCTGATGACTTGCACTCGCCCAGATCTCGCATACCCTCTCAGCATCCTGGCTCGTTTTGTGGCCACAGGCAGACACCGACCTCAGCACTGGTCTGCCGCTAAGAGGGTTTTGCGTTATCTTGCAAGTACATCGGGCATGGGGTTAGTGCTAGGCGGACGCAGGCCAGTGGTCCTTACTGGACACACAGACGCTTCTTGGGCAGACGACGCCGAGACGCTCAGGTCTTCCCAGGGCTACTGCTTTAGCCTTGGCTCAGGTGCTGTCTCGTGGAGAGCTACCCGCTCCTCGTCTGTTGCCCAGTCCAGCTGTGAGGCTGAGATCTACGCCGGTGCCATGGCGGCACAGGAGCTCCGCTGGCTGACCTTCTTGCTCACTGACTTAGGTGAGCGGCCTAGCTCTGCCCCGGTCCTGTACGCTGACAACAGGGCCATGATTCTCCTGTGTCAGGAGCCTCGACTCGAGGGCAGAGCGAAGCACATCCAGCTGCGGTACTTCCTCCTGCGCGAGCTACAGCAGCGTCGCCAGGCTCGCGTAGTACACTTGGCCTCCGGTGCCAACACAGCTGATATCTTTACGAAGGCGCTTGCGCCTAAAGATCATCAGCGGCACTGTTTACAGCTTGGTCTGGTTCCTGTAGTCTCTCACTTACTCGGGCTTTGACTTTGTACTGTCGTATATATATATATGTATACACTCAGACTGGACTTGTGTCCTCTCACAGTGGTTGGACTAGTAGTGCCGCCCTGTACTCGTTCTTGCCTTGTCTGTACTCCTTCTGACTGGTCTTTTAGACCCTTGTCTCAGAGGCTGGACTAGTAGTGCCACCCTGAGCTGCTTGTCTAGAACATTCCCCTATGCAGTCCAGGGGGTGTGTCAAACATGTGTAGTTATCATGTTTGTATAGACTGTATAGGGTCACCTTCTAGAGAGTACAACATTTAGGTATATGTTTGTGTACTCTCTCTCTCTTATCATTAAAATTCTAGGTTTGATAAAGCAACGCATGACGGCGCGACAGAGACCTCACCAACTGTCTGTTGCAGCAAACGCTTCCCAGCAGACTTCCCTACGTACAGTAAGTTGTAGCACCCTCTTCGCCCCTCACGACTTCGTCCAGCCATACCGCCCGGCTCAGTTGCGCAACCTTCTGTGGAATCACCTCCCTGTGCCCCTCCACCAGCCGTGCCCCATAGCAAGCCCATCCCTTCACCCAGCAGACCTCGCCCCTCACAGCTTATTCCATTCCGCCACAACCTCCCGGCTCAGCATAGCCAACTTCCTTAGAATCACGCCCCTGTGTTCCTCCATCAGCCGCGCCCCGCAGAGAGCCATGAACTTGTCTGGGTGCCACACAAGCAGTGCATCCCTCGCCTTCTTCCTTTTCTCCTCCAGAGAGTCGACGGGGGAGAGGAGGCAGTTGCCCCTGGGTGGCCATGGGACGTCCCAGAAGTGAAGCGGTGGCGCATTGGCAGCCCTTGTTCTGTTCTTGAATTGCGTGGCTGGGTGTATGTCGTTGGAGCACCTGAACCCAAAACGCATGCATGCACGCGTGCACGCACCCACGAACACAAGCGCACACGCCCACGCATGCCCCCCTCACCCCGCACCCCCAATCACACCCCCGCAAACACGCACTTCTCATCCGCACCGCATGCACACACATGCATGCACCAATGCATGCACACACATCCAGCACATGCAGCACATACAGCAGAGACACAGATAACAGAGTGTGGGTCAGGAAACAGTCTGAGATGACAGAACCGGGTGTGCCGAAGGTATTGCAGCTGGTTTCGTTGAAGCCTCTCTCACCTGCCTGGCGCCATCAGTACTCGTCCTCCAGCCGCCTCAGCTTCTCAGCCAGCGCCGCTTCATCGCCCCCTGTTGCCCTCCGCCTTGCCTCCTCCTCCCTCCTCCTCTCTTCCTCCCTCCTCCTCTCCTCCTCCCTCCTCCTCTCCTCCTCCCTCCTCCTCTCCTCCTCCCTCCTCTTTTCCTCCCTCCTCCTCTCTTCCTCCCTCCTCACCTCTTACTCAACCCTCCTCCTCTCTTCCTCATTCTTCCTCCTCACTTCCTCTCGTTCCCTCATTCGCTCCTCCCTCTTCTCTGCAGCCTTTTTCACCTCTTCTTCCCTCTCCCTCACACACTCTTCCCTCCTCCTCTTTGCCTCCCCATCCTTTCGCTTGCACTCCTCCTCCCTCTTCCTCTTCCTCTCCAGCGCCCCCTCATTCACCTCTATCTCCTTCTGCACTGCAGCCACAGCAGCTTGCATGCGCTCGGTGTCCGTCTGCTTGGCTGCCACATGAGCTCTCATCCGCGCCTCCCATTCCTTCAGCAGGTCGCAGTACGAAGCAAACACGCTCGCTGAAGCGTTCTCAGGGGGAGGAGGGGGTGGGTAGCCCTGATGGTATGGGGGCGGGTAGGGAAGAGGGGAGAGGGACAGGAGGGACAGGGAAAGGATAGGAGGGGAATGGCGAAGGAGACAGGGGCGGGGAGGTGAGAGTGGCACGGGCAGTGAACAATGGATAATACACTACTTGGGAGCACAGGAGAGCAGAACAGGCAGGATGGAACAGGGTATTCGAAGGGATGATGGTGCAACGGTTGGGAGGGGAGGAAAGAGAATAGTTGGGGGATGGTGGAAGCTCACAGTGGCGAGACAACGAGCAGTGATTACAGCGGGGCACTCACCATGACAAATCACTCCACCGACTAAGAACCGCCATCACCACTCATAAAATCACGGCAGCGGGGATATGCACCCTATTCACGCACCAAGGCGTCAGACTCCTCCTGGTGCTGCTGCTGCTGCTGCTGCTGCTGCTGCCGATTCAGCTCCTCCTGATGCTTCCTCCTCATTGCCTCCATCTCCCCCTTCATCTGCTGCTCCCTCTGCTGCGCGCGTTTCTCATCCTCCTCTTTCCTCGCCCTGTACTCCTCCATTGCCGTCCAAATATCCTCCCATTGCTCTCCCTCTCTTGCTTTCTCCTCCTCCCTTCTCTTTTCCTCCTCCCTTCTCTTCTCATCCTCCCTTTTCTTTTCCTCCTCCCTTCTCGTTTCCTCCTCCCTTCTTTTTTCCTCCTCCCTTCTCTTTTCCTCCTCCCTTCTCTTCTCCTCCTCCCTTCTCGTTTCCTCCTCCCTTCTCTTTTCCTCCCCCCTTCTCTTTTCCTCCTCCCTTCTCTTCTCCTCCTCCCTTCTCTTTTCCTCCTCCCTTCTCTTCTCCTCCTCCCTTCTCTTCTCCTCCTCCCTTCTCTTTTCCTCCTCCCTTCTCGTTTCCTGCTCCCTTCTCTTTTCCTCCTCCCTTCTCTTTTCCTCCTCCCTTCTCTTTTCCCCCTCCCTTCTCTTCTCCTCCTCCCTTCTCTTCTCCTCCTCCCTTCTCTTCTCCTCCTCCCTTCTCTTTTCCTCCTCCCTTCTCTTTTCCTCCTCCCTTCTCTTTTCCTCCTCCCTTCTCTTTTCCTCCTCCCTTCTCTTCTCCTCCTCCCTTCTCTTCTCCTCCTCCCTTCTCTTCTCCTCCTCCCTTCTCTTTTCCTCCTCCCTTCTCTTCTCCTCCTCCCTTCTTTTCTCCTCCTCCCTTCTCTTTTCCTCCTCCCTTCTCTTTTCCTCCTCCCTTCTCTTCTCCTCCTCCCTTCTCTTTTCCTCATCCCTTCTCTTTTCCTCCTCCCTTCTCTTTTCCTCCTCCCTTCTCTTTTCATCCTCCCTTCTCTTCTCCTCCTCCCTTCTCGTTTCCTCCTCCCTTCTCATTTCCTCCTCCCTTCTCTTCTCCTCCTCCCTTCTCTTTTCCTCCTCCCTTCTCTTCTCCTCCTCCCTTCTCTTCTCCTCCTCCCTTCTCTTCTCCTCCTCCCTTCTCTTTTCCTCCTCCCTTTTCCTCCTTCCTTCTCTTCTCCTCCTCCCTTCTCTTCTCCTCCTCCCTCCTCTTTTCCTCCTCCCTTCTCCTCTCCTTCTCCCTTCTCGTTTCCTCCTCCTTCTCTTCTCCTCCTCCCTTCTCTTTTCCTCCTCCCTTCTCGTTTCCTCCTCCCTTCTCTTTTCCTTCTCCCTTCTCTTTTCCTCCTCCCTTCTCTTTTCCCCCTCCCTACTCTTCTCCTCCTCCCTTCTCTTCTCCTCCTCCCTTCTCTTCTCCTCCTCCCTTCTCTTTTCCTCCTCCCTTCTCTTTTCCTCCTCCCTTCTCTTTTCCTCCTCCCTTCTCTTCTCCTCCTCCCTTCTCTTCTCCTCCTCCCTTCTCTTCTCCTCCTCCCTTCTCTTTTCCTCCTCCCTTCTCTTTTCCTCCTCCCTTCTCTTTTCCTCCTCCCTTCTCTTTTCCTCCTCCCTTCTCTTCTCCTCCTCCCTTCTCTTCTCCTCCTCCCTTCTCTTCTCCTCCTCCCTTCTCTTTTCCTCCTCCCTTCTCTTCTCCTCCTCCCTTCTCTTCTCCTCCTCCCTTCTCTTCTCCTCCTCCCTCCTCTTTTCCTCCTCCCTTCTCCTCTCCTTCTCCCTTCTCATTTCCTCCTCCTTCTCTTCTCCTCCTCCCTTCTCTTTTCCTCCTCCCTTCTCGTTTCCTCCTCCCTTCTCTTTTCCTTCTCCCTTCTCTTTTCCTCCTCCCTTCTCTTTTCCCCCTCCCTACTCTTCTCCTCCTCCCTTCTCTTCTCCTCCTCCCTTCTCTTCTCCTCCTCCCTTCTCTTTTCCTCCTCCCTTCTCTTTTCCTCCTCCCTTCTCTTTTCCTCCTCCCTTCTCTTCTCCTCCTCCCTTCTCTTCTCCTCCTCCCTTCTCTTCTCCTCCTCCCTTCTCTTTTCCTCCTCCCTTCTCTTTTCCTCCTCCCTTCTCTTTTCCTCCTCCCTTCTCTTTTCCTCCTCCCTTCTCTTCTCCTCCTCCCTTCTCTTTTCCTCCTACATTCTCTTTTCCTCCTCCCTTCTCTATTCATCCTACATTCTCTTTTCCTCCTCCCTTCTCTATTCATCCTCCCTTCTCTTCTCCTCCTCCCTTCTTGTTTCCTCCTCCCTTCTCTTTTCCTCCTCCCTTCTCTTCTCCTCCTCCCTTCTCTTTTCCTCCTCCCTTCTCTTCTCCTCCTCCCTTCTCTTCTCCTCCTCCCTTCTCTTTTCCTCCTCCCTTCTCCTCCTCCCTTCTCTTCTCCTCCTCCCTTCTCTTTTCCTCCTCCCTTCTCTTCTCCTCCACCCTTCTCTTTTCCTCCGCCCTTCTCTTCTCCTCCTCCCTTCTCTTCTCCTCCTCCCTTCTCTTTTCCTCCTCCCTTATCTTCTCCTCCTACTGGGATACTGATCTTCAACACCAAGACCATCGTGGTCTCAACGTCTTTTGCATCACGCCTCAGCCTTCTCGCACCAACTCCTTCGACGAACCTGCAGCAGAGCCAACAGAAGTCGCATCGGCAGCGGCACAAACAATTCAAAGTACATGGGCATCTGGAGATGGAAATTGGGATTACGACCATCAAGAACCGACATCTGCTACAGTCAAAGAACCTATAGAGGTTGAACGCACATGGGGCAAGAAAGACTTAGTCGTATCTGATGCTTGGGCGGGTCGCCGACACCTCGGCATACCTTGGGTTGAAACTCCAGAAGAAGCCGGGTTCATCCAGCCTTTCGGCACTGGCCGCTGTGTTAACTCTGTGCCAACGATTCATCTTTCATCGGCCTTCTTCCTTCACTCCGACTTGTATCTGCGTTCAAAGGGACACTGGACAACAGCAGAAATCTGACACAAACGGTTAGGTCATCCCTCGCAAGAACAACTTGATTAAAGCCTCGGTTTTCGACAAGGACGCACTCCTTCTAACCAACGGCCAAGAGCTTCGACCAAGCAGTCGTCAACTGCTACCCTGCACCGTCTACCCCGGAGCTCACCTAAGTCACACTCCTTTCCCGTCGCACTATCCAAGTGCTACTAAGTACTCACCTATGGATGTCGTTTTCAGCGACATACTCTTCATGCCACATGAAGTAGAAGATATCAGCGGCAACGACTACCGATATATACTTACCTTCATCGACGGTGCTACTCGATATGTCTGGCACAAGAATATCTCTCACAAGTCTGAAGCTCTCGACGCCTTCAAACTATGGCTGAAAATTGCGGAGCGGCAGAGTGCCATCCAAAATTGACGATGATGACGTCATCGAAGTTTGCCAACCTCATCCTTTTGGTGACCAATCAGCTCTTCAAATCCTCGGTCTTGCTGTCGTAGTTCAGCAACCAACGATCGGGATCAAGCCAAAAACTGTCAAGCAGGCCCTCTCCGGCTCTGATGCTGACAAGTGGCAAGCAGCTATGCAGAGGTAGCAGCTCTCGAGAAGAGGAAAACGTTGAAAATCGTTCCACGCGAAGCAACACGCGGCAAGAAAATTCTTTCGGGCAAGTGGGTCTTTCGCATAAAGACAAATGCAGCAGGCGAACCTTACTAATTCAAGGGGAGATGGGTCATTCGAGGTTTCGAACAAACCCATGGCATCGATTACGACCAGAATTTCGCTCCGATCAGCCATCATACCTCAGTTCGAATTCTTCTCGCCATTTCTGCCAGCCACCACCTTCCACTTCGCCAACTTGACGTTAAAAATGTGTCTTTATGCACAAACATCGATGCAGATATTTTCGTGGAACTCCCTCACACTTACGGCGACAGACTTCATATATGCAAGTTACTTAAATCACTCTACGGCATCAAAAAGGCTCCTCGCCTGTGGCAGCAACATCTTCACAAAGTGTTGATTTCACTCGACTTCGTGCAGGTGCCCCACTATCCTGGAATCTAATTTCGTGCAGGCTCGAATTTCGACTTCGTACAGGCGCCGAGGGGTTGACCATGCTGGAGTAGCTGTCGCTGCTGCCGAGTATGGGGGTGCCAGGCTTAGGGGGTGTGTGGCTTAGTGCGCTGTATATGTGGTGTGCTTTCAGCTACCAAGCCTAGGGGGTGTGTTAAATTATATATTTGATATGGCGGCGGCGTCTCCTACCTAAACCTCACGCCATTCCATGGCTCCTCTTCCTAGCTAGCAATGTTTGACATACTCAACAGAGTTTACTTATGCATTCCTGATATAACACTTAGACTGTATTAGTAGCACGATACCTCATATGGAAGGACGCGCGTGATGGCGTCAGCAGTAGCGAGTCAACCCGTGAACAGTAGGTTCGCGCGTATAGTCATCCGAAGGGTCACGCCGCTCTCAGTCACACGAATAGTCACTGGTCACCATGCGAATAATCGCGATACACTACGTACAGGTACATCCGAATAACTAATTCGTAGACTATATATGCCTATATTATTCATTATTATTATCCTTGTCATTTCTGACATTTCCAATACAAGGTGTAAAGTCTTCCGCTGACTTTAACTCGTTTTTCCACCAAATCTAGATCCTGGCCACCCTACACACGTGGTTCACTTCCACAATGCGAACCATATGCAGAGTTATGTGTGTCCTGCGAGTCTTGGGCCATCACATACTGCACGCACATCACACTTAAATGCAGTCGCAATAGTACAGGTAGTGCATGGGGTCGCTCGACAAATGAAAGGTCAATCAAGGTTTGGGAAACACAAAGATCCCCCCAATATCACTCATCCATAATCATTGAGCTATGAAGCAGCCTTCTTATTGTGCTGCATGAATCGGAGAGCCAGGTATGTGCCGATCCGGCATGCAAGACAAAATAAGATTAGGAAGAGCCTGTCAAAGCCATACTCAGGGCGGATAGAACGGGCCATGGATATGTATGCCCACTGAAAGCTGCTACTTCCAGTGATACGTGGGCAATTGCAATTAGGACATGACAAGGCGGGCGTAACACAGCCCGGACTGGAACACATAGGGCTTCCGGTGTCGCAGTAGAACGCAATGGCAGTCATGGCATTCAGTGCATATTGCACAAAGATGGTATGATAATTGAGATGCAAAAACCCAGAGGAGTGAGTGGGAGATATGAAACGAGAACAGCTCCATACCTGTAGAGGGTTTGTCCAATAAAATGGCTTGAAGAAAAAATGCATCAGACCTTACGGGACCACATATCCTGCTGTACTTATCCACAAGCCAGAAACCATGGGCACGAGCATGAATGCAAGCTGCAAAAAACGTGGCAGGTCAGGGAACATTCGCATAAGAAAAGGAACACTGACTAATCATCAAATGACAGAGGTCCCAGGTGCTTGGATATGCCATAACTCACTCTTGGGTTGCGGAAAGTCACAGAACCCAAGGTAGATAATGCTTAGGGAGAAGAGGAAGTGAGTGAACCAGAATGAAAAAAATTGAGATGGGCTGGAAACGGCAACTTGAGCCAGCCCCGCTGATATGCCAATAAAAATCAGCGTCGTGACAATAAGATATGGAATCTGCAAGCGTCAGGAAAAACGTAAGGATGCTTGACTCCTGGTACAATTAAATAAAATCATGTTTGAATGATTTTGCATTGCGTACCTCAACCAGTGTAAAGGAGATGATGTATGTGGAAGCAAAGTATTGCTTGTTGAGTCTTTCTCTGTTGAACACGTGGCGGATGCGTGTCAGCATTCCCACTACCGTTCCTCCATAAGAGGGAGCCAATAATGAGGTCCAGGACACATGCGACGATGGCACGAGAGAGGGTATAAGAGGTGTTCCGCCAGTAGAGTATGTTGGTGGACCAATACACCTTCACCAGACGTGACATATAAAACGACTGCAACGAGCACCAGATACTTCTGGGCAGAGAGGCCTTTTCAGAGGAGTCTGCCTCATGTGTAGAATGAGACGTGGCAATAAGAGCGCTTCCGGCCCTCCTCGACTGCAATGCAGGCTTTTCAATGGCGAATGATGTGCCCGTATCCGTTCTGCCCTCAGGCGGACGTGTAGCCACCTGACCAGCTAGAGAAATTGCAGTCATAACGCCCGTAGAGTCGGATGCCTCTGACACATAGAAGGATTTTGGACTGCGACGGAGCTTCCTCGGGTGCTGGGGGTTGCTCATTGCCAGGTTACTGATTCTATATTCAAAAGCATAGTCACGTGGAGCTAGAGACTCTGAGACGCCTTCTCCCATTGCAAACTGTAGGAAGCTGATGGGATTCATATTGGCAGGAAGCATGGGTGTGCCTGATATGGATTGGAAGTATTCCTGCACGTCATGGGGAAAAAATATGAGGAAAGTTTGACAAATCAAGAAAGCTGGTCTTCTCAGTCAAGACTGTCTAACTCAAGCATCCCAACAATGCCAATCCTTACCACAATGGCAGAGCCAAATCGCCCAGCAGGTCCAAAGTAGACCATGTCACCTCCACTGCCCAGCATGAGCACAGAAGCGAAGTTGTTGAGCTGAACCACTGTGGGCACGTTGGCTGACACCACCATGGCCTTGCCCCAACCGGTTGCCACGCCCTGAAATGCAGAAAGACAGGGCAGGTTCATATGAACATTCGTAGACGGCTCAGCATTTCGAACAGAGGAGAATGACTTTCATGATTAGCTAAATGTGATATGACATGCATGAGATGAAAATACGCACAGCGAGAATCTCTGCGAATTGCACGATTTGCTGCATCTCCATGCCCAAGAAGGGGGTGTCAAGAAAAAGTGCTGATGGATTTCCTGCGAGCTCTATGGCCAGCACGATTTGTTTCTTTGTAAAGACCAAACCGCTGCCACCTGAAGTAAGGAGGTCATTCACAAGATAAGTTGAGAGGTCATGTATGCGAGTGAGCCTCAGAATCTGAAACAAAAAAAAAAAAACAAAAAAAAACAAAAAAAAAAAACAGGCATGTTTTGCCATGAAAGTGGCAGTAGAAGGTCAGCTCGATACCTAAGACTCTCTCTGACTATGAGGTATGGGTAGTGCTGGTGCCCTCGTTCAACATATGTTGTGCAGCGAATGAAGGATTCAATTTCACGAGGCAGACCGTTGACAGAAATCTGGCTTGTGATCCGTCCACGAATCTTCCGCCCTATCAGAGGAGAATAAAGACAAACTTGAGGGCTTAGAAGATCAAGTTAGTTTGGTAGCAACAGGAAGATTTGGGAGCACTTACCAACCAGGCAGTTGAGAAGGCTTGTCTTGCCTGCGCCCCTTCCTCCCACAATTCCTGTAATTTCACCTGGCTTGACCCACCCTGAGATGCCTTTCAGAACTTCCCTGTCCCTATCAGAATGAGGAGATGGGAACTTATAAGATACGTTTTGCCATGCGAGCACTACTGGCTCAAATGGTGGACATGGTATCCGCCTTGTCTCCGCCTCCATTGCTGCATTCCCTCCCTCCAGCTCTCCAAACTCAACAGCAACATCATGACCACTGGGAGTTTCTGAT